GTCGATGTATTTGAAATGTTTTCACAACTTAATATCAGCATTAGTCCTCTGAATCATTATCAGTCAGGCTCTAGTGTGTAAAAACATGTGTTTTTACACAACATGTTGGCTCAAACCATATGCAGCATATAATACAATTCAGTGCACACCCTGATCCATGTATCTGTACTGGATTTGCTGTATTTCAAGGTTTTGTACAGGAGTAATATAACTTAGTCTTCATAACAGACGACTCCACCTAAATACCACCCTGTGGTGCGACCTTAAGAAGAGGGCCAGTTGTTACTTTCAGCCCTTTCAATTTTTTTTTTTTTTTAAATAAGAAAAAAAAACTGTTCAAAGAGTGACTTAGGATCAAAGGTTGATTTCAGATCAATAGTGCTTGTTTAAACCAGCAGCAAGTACCACATGGATGGTATCACACAGGTTCAGCAGCAGCAACAAAGCAGCTGAAAACAAGCACAAAGTGGGACTTACATAAACGTTAAATGTCCCAAGTCTTTCTCCTCTCAGTCAGTTTGCAGATGACTTGAGGACCAAACAAATCACACTGGTCCAAAGACGCAGTTGGACGCTCTGAGCTGTTTCGAGATGCAGTAGTTCCACTGAGTGCGTCTTCTAACCCCGTCTGCAGTTTGTCTCAGTGGCCCCAACATTAATTTAACGGTTTTGTTTTTTAAGTTTATCCACCCTTTACATTAAAACACCAGTCTCTTATTGTATAGAAACCAGATATGCTAACCCCATGCCGTAACCCGGTAACACCCGCCCCCCTGCCCCATGTCATTTCCTTCATCAGTGTCTCTATCCGCTCCCGACAGCTGCTTTCCTCATCAGTTCCTCGTCCTGCACAGACAGATCTGTCAGCTTGCGTCCCAGCTTCTCATGGAGGTCCAGGTATTTGGCCACGCAGCGGTCCAGGCACACACTTTCCCCTTTTGTCAGCTCTGCCTCCTTGTAGTGTGGCGGCACACACTTCCTGTGGCAGGCGTTGGTCATTCTGGGAGAAAAAGAAACCAAATGTCAGTCAGATTCTTCAACTATTGTTTGTAAAGATCAATTTGACTTAATGTGAAAACTCTTTTACTAGGGTATTCTAATGTGCCTGAGCATCTAAATGTGATGCCCCAGCGATATTCATACCGTCATTTGCTTATTCACATAACTGTAAGTTCTGCATTTGATGCATGTATTGTAAATATTAACAGAATTTTGACAAAGCTCTGCAAAAGAAAATGCCAATTCAAACTCCTTTCTCTCACATTATGTGGATATTATGGCAAAAATCGGTCAATTATCAATAAATACATGCAGAAGAGGGCGGCACGACAAGATGGTGTAGTTAAAATACTGAAAATAACAAAACAGATAGAAATGGGAACTTTGTATCATTAAGTTCGAAAGACCTGATGCTTCTCCATGTTCTCTTTAGTTGACTTTTCACATACTTCACTTACGGCGAACTGAGAATACATATAAAAACAGGAGGATGGAAACACTCCAGACCAGGGGTTTTCAAAGTGTGGGAGAGTTAGCACCCCCTCGGAGAGCAAATAAACAACTGCCCCCCCCCCCCCCCATTTTGCTGTTGCTATACTTAATGTTCCATTTATACTTAAATACTTGGTTGTTGAACACATTTCAAACATCTGTACTTTTAGAACATGTTATTTTCACACATTTCTAACATCACTGCTTCTTTTTTAACACCTCACATCACAGCAATCGCGCCCTCCGCTGAAGAACTCTGGTGCCCCCTAGGGAACACCAGGGAACACTTAAACGTGGCAGAAAGAAGATTTTAAACAAACATGTCTGAACCATCGACCAGATATAAAGACAGACAGGCCCCCCAAAGTAAAGCACTAGATCGCCCCCTGGTGTCTGTATTGGATGAATTGAATGATATTAATTATACATGATTTCTTTTTGACAAATCAAAATGTCTGCTATGATAATGGCCAGCTGACAATCTGCCCAATTCAATTTTATTTGAATAGCGCCAAATCATAATATACATTATCTCAAGGCACTTTACATAGAAGGTAAAGACCTTAAAATCGTATTATTATAGAGAAACCCAACAGTTCCCACAATGAGCAGCACTTTGGTGACTGTGGAGAGAAAAACTCCCTCATTAAGGGAGAAACCTCTAGAACCAGGCTCAATGTGGCGGCGGTCGCCTGCCTCGACTGGTTGGGGTGAGCGGGGAAAAAAGGGGAGGACACACCTGGGTACAGAGCAGTCCTGCTTTCACATCCACTGCTGTCTACAAACAGCATTAAATGGAGTTCCCCTCAGATTATTTCTAGGTTCAGTTCTTGTTTCCACCATTAAACATCTGGAAAGATCTCCAGTCATCTCAGTGATTTGCAGTCCTCCCATTCAAACACTTGCTTTCCTTTCAGAGGGCAGTGATGAATGAGTGGGATCCCTTGTACAGTCAAAGTGTCCATGAACTGTCATGTGAATGAGATCACTATTGACAGATATGAGTGTGAGTGACAGTAAAATACTGTAGGCCTGCAGTTGGACACCGCTAATGATGTTCCTGAGAGAGCCCTCCTTCCATCTCAAAGTCCACATGATGGGTCAGTCATCACAGTGTGTTGTCAAAGGCTGAGATAATTTGTTGAGAAATTGTTGAGCACCCTCACACATTACTGTATATGGCACTATACATTATGTATATTACTTCTGTACGCCATTGAGAATAGTGTCCATCTATTTCTACAGATACTGCCTCTCTCTTTTCACAGCACACAAGGTCAGGTTATACATAAAGGACCAACCAACAGTCCATTGTAGTGTCTACGATTAGAGACTTTCATATCTAACTCAGATGAGCCAGATTGAGAGGCACCAACTTCAACTGTTTTCTAAATTACACCAGTGGCAGACATAAGGTCACAATGTGGTTTAGTTGCATATTTAGACTTAACTATCCAATAGGATGTGAACACCTTCATGTAACAGAGTGAGAGCAATTAGCCTTTCATTAATATGCTGCTGGTATGGGTGATACAAGTAGAGGAAGATATATGGGGATGCTGTGGGAGACATCTTGAGACTTGGGGGAGACAATGTCTCATGTTACTTTGTTAAGATCAGCTGCTGCCAGAGTTCTCCTTTCACCAGCTTTCAGAAAACTTCCATAACATAGAATTCACTATTCCTGCTCAATAATGTTAAAAAATAGCACGAAACATATTCAACATGAATTCATCATTGCCGATTTTCCCATTTGTTATATTGAGCCCAATTGTGTGTATAATAAATGAACATATTCTGATTTCACATTTGGTTTGAGGCATCTCCTTCATTCATTCATTCATTCATTCTATTCTCGATCACATCTTCTGCTTGCACAGATGTGGACAGTTGTGCACTTTTAACATTGATCAGTGACAGTGGGAGTCACATGTAGCTGCTGACATTGAAAAGAATCAAAACCAGCCTCGATCAGAGAGACTCGATAGAACCATCTGTAGTAAGTTGACCTCTGCAGGACCTGTGATGAAGACTACGATGAAGGCCATCAGACGGTTAGTGGTAGCAGCATTCATAAGAGGCAGCTAGCTGAGCAGCTAGCTTAGCTTAGCTCTTACCGGTTGTACATGTCTGCCATCATCTCCACCTCCAGCTCCGCCGCCAGCTGCTGGGCCTTCATGGGATCCATGTCCGCGCTTCACCTCTGCTCACTCCCGCCTTCAGCCGCACACTCAGTCCGTCCTGCCGGGCCTCCACAGCGGACAGTCGATGGGACTTCTGCCGGCTGCTGATGCTGCTTCTGTAACCTTCAGCGAAGTAAACACGTGTGTACTGTTTCCTCCGCCACTTCCGCTGTCGATAAAGTTGGATTCAGACGGGAGAGAAGAGAAAGCGCGCCCTCTGGTGGAGTGAAGGCAGAACCGCGGTTTTGCCAGAGGGGAAAAAAAACCCTTGCATGAAAAGACAGCCCGTTTTTTATTATGACCATAATCATGTTTTCCACACAGATAAAGGCTCAGGTAAGGTTTGTTACTGACACAGAGGTGACGTCACTGAGGTGCTTCTAATCCTTAACGGGCTGAACATTCACATTTCACTCGAAATGTAAAATTATTACATTAACAAACATGTAAACAACATTAAGAACTTTTCTCAGACTTGTATAAATGCTTTAACTTATTGTTAATCAAAACAAAACAACTCTTCCAACCTAGTCTGCTGAACTCAATGAACCTGTGAAACAAAGAAACAAAAATGCACAGACGAAATCTATTATTTACACACTTCACGTCTGTGTGAATAAAATCTGAACATAGAGAACATAAAACTGTATCGGGACTTTAATCTGCCTCATCTCCAGTCACGTCAATATCATTCATGTCTTCCTCCTCCTCTTCATCTGGTATTATCTCCATGTTGTGGAGTCCATCCTCTCTGATCTGCAGTTTGACTGGAGAGTAAAGCAGGACATCCACCTCCTCCACCTCCTCCACCTCCACCTCCTCCTCCTCACAGCCTGGGGTCCTGCTGATCCCAGCAGCCTCTGACAGATGTGGACTAGTTTTCTCAGGTGTCTGGGGCGGCAAGTTGTAACCGAATGGATTGTGTTTCTGAGGCAGGTCACTGGGAGACGAGCCTCCGTCATCATGGATGGCAGTCTGCTGTGTTGTATTTGACGCTCCTGTATCATCGGTTGTTCCAGCCAAAACAAAAAAAAGATAAAGATAGATTATTCTGTCACTTTCCAAAGTAAGGGGGCCTTTTAAGTTTTGCAGTGGAAAATCATTTAAGGATGAGGACTGAGTGATTCATTCTGTGACTCTTCATCATTTTGTCTGATATGCAAAACATGGCCACTGATTGATTAAAAAAAATGTATTTGGGTCTAATGGTTTCTTCTCATGTCTGACTTGTTCACAGTTCCACCAAAAACATATTTCCTCTCCAAACTTCTCAGCTGCTCTAAAATATTGGTTTGAAACTGAAGAAGAATTGTTGTTAGTTTTTTGGGGGGGACAGAGCCGACCTCTATGTTGGGACAGCACAATCTAACTTTATGTGCAATAGCTAAATCTAGCTCCACTTTGAATAGGGATGCATCAGTGTTGAAATAAAAATATTCGTGATCGTCATAACAACACATACTGTTTCATGCTTTCAACACACAACACAACCGTGCTAGCTATCAATACAATGTTTAAGATAAGTGCACAAATAAATTCCTCGCTCACTGTCACAAGGGTTGATACATACTACAGTAGCCTGAAGAATATATCTGTGATTTGGTTGAACTAAGCCTCATTAAAATAACATTGTTCTAATCACATTTTATGCTAAATAACAGTGTAATTCTTCACATAACCAGCAGATGGCACCAACGTTTTTTCAGCCAAAGCAATAAATCGAATAAAAATGACTCAATGGTTCATTAGCTGGAGTTCAGTTGTTCCTAAGTGTCTGACATGACATTTTTAATCTCACTGAACACAAAAAAAAAACAAAGAGCTCACCTTCATCAGGGTTCTTCAGCGGCTGCTCCCTGTCTGCTGACAACTCGGACACTTCTGTCAAAGCCCCAAAGGAAAAGACCGGTAGCTGTTCACCACATGTCAGACCGGTCTCCTTACTCTTAGAGCTGCCGCTTTCTTCTCGCTGAGATTTACTTTTCTTGTCTGTTGATTCGTTGAAGACTTGATTGTGATTTCTATCGATTGTGACCACGGCCTGAGAGTCTTCACTCCTGCTCCTGTCCAGAGGCTGAAAAGTGTCCACGTCCTTCACGAACACCTCAGTGGATTTTTTAAATGTGCTGTCGAAGCTAGCCAGCCCTTCACTCTCTGCAGCTCGTTCCGGTTTATTCGTTTGCTGGTTTTCTTTTGACTTCCTCATCTTTGAGTTTTTACTGTTAATAAGCTTCTGAAACTCCTTCAGAATAACCATTCGTGGCTGTTTGGGGACCCCAGGCTTTCTAACATCTGGGTTTATGTCAGTAATGTCTGCCTCAGGTTGGCCATTTATCTTTATAGACTTCTTCAGTGGAACCTCTACTGCTTCTATACTTTTATTCATCCTTTTTTTGCATCTTTGCTTTGTCTTGTCCCCCTTTTCCAAATCGTCCTTTGGCAACCTGACTGTCTGCAGATGACGTCCTTCATCGTGGCTGTCCTTTTTGTCCACAGCAGGGTTGTTGTTAGGAGGGGTAAGATCTGGAGGTTTTGTTTTTGATGGTCTTCCACGTTTTCGCTGTATGACTCTGTTATTCACAACTCTCTGGGCCACAGGTTGTGCAGCTACATCATTTTCTGGGCCTGTGTCACTCAGTGACTCTTGGTTTGTTTTTACAAAACCCCTGGTTTTGACCCGAGTCTGCTCAGTGCTCAACCCAGACCGCCTGGCGTTCTTTTTTAGACTTTCTCCGACGAACATCGACTGATTTGGATTTGATGGAATGTTCAAAGCGCTTACGGCCTTTTCTCTTTCCTTCGCCAGCAAATTGTTGCTCGACAAACTGACTTTACAAATGCTCAAGTTCAATTTGCTCTTCGTTGTATCACTGATTTTCACATCTTTGTATGTCAATATAGAACCAGCAGCATCCTGTGGATGACTGGTGCACTTTATCTTCTTTCTTTTACCTGTAGCGTCACGTTCTTTCATCTTCCTGGGTTTAAATTTAAGCTCCAGGGGATTTTGTTCATCAGCAGATGCAGTTTTTCTCTCGGCTACTTCTTTCGCAGTACAAGATCCTCCTGTCAAGGTTTCTCCATTCAGCAGATTCAACTCCATATTTTCTTGTCTTAGCTTTGACCAACAGCTGCCACTTGTATCCTGTGGTAAAGACGCACTTTCATTTTTTCTGTGAGTCATACTACTCAGAGGGAACTGCAGTGATGCAGGGTTTACTGTGAGCCAGGGTCGCCTTTGTAGAGATGGCTGCTGCTCAAATGTATTGCCGATGTTCATTGAGTTGTTGAGGGCAAACGGATATTTTGTTGATGAAGTACACGGCTCTAAGGGAGAGAGACATCGAGGAAGTCGGAAATCAGCCATGTACGGTAAGGGCAGAGTATGAATGGACTGAGGCTCATTTCCATTTGTCAGGGGGAAAATGTCAAGGTTGGGATTTTGTCGTTCCTGGAATGCTGGGTAATGAATTTTCTGCCCGGCGGAGTAGAAAGCTGAGGGTATGAGGGATCTCGCTGTAGGTGCAGCGGGTCGTACACTTTCTTGAGGATTGGACAGTTGTTGCCACGTGGATCTGACAGATGAGTGATACTGTGAAGAGCACTCCTGCTGCTGTTGGATCAGGGCAGTGTCTGGTAGTACAGATGAAAGTGCTGAGCAGCTGGGCAGGTTCTGAGCTGTGAAACAACAGGGGATACCTGTACAACAGGTGGGAAGACATCAGTCCATCAGGATTCACCAAATATGCAGCGGTTAAATGTTAGGGTGGTGGATTTGGATAGAGGCTACATTCATACCACTACAATTTAGTATTACAACGCGTCACTGTTGCTACATTTATTTTTGCCGACAACAGTTACCACGAGTTTTTTCGACCACCTGAAACAGAACATTTTGGAAACGCCGCTGTTGCTGTTTTAGGTTGAAAACTCCGGGTCTGTGTGGTGTGGACGGACAAGAGACGTTTGAAAAAAGGAAATAGTTGAATTTTCTGTAACTAAGCAACCACCTAGAGAGAAGACAATCTGCTAACTGTTTACACTGGCACGCACATACACAGTGAACGTGATAGTCCTGCAACATGCGTTATCAGTATTGAGAGATACAAATACTGAAACAGAGCTGAAACAGCTTGTGTGGAAAGATTTAATAATTATTATGGATGTAGCCTTAGACTTAAATCAGGTTAAACTGAGTCTGGTGATGTAATCGAATAAGAAGTGAGTGTCTCAGGCAAAACAAGATTCTGGGTTATTTTGACAGGACTGCTCCGTGCTTAAATTAAGCTGAAACAATCAATAGACAGGAAATCGATCAGGAACTAGAGCAATTTGAAAATCAATTGTTATTCATTCTAATTCTCGATTTTGGTTTTTTGTCTCAAATGTTAGTGAATATTCTTGTTTTTTTGTTAACTAACAAACCTTATCTAAAGCAAACTAAAGCATCTACTTACCTGTATCTGTTGAGCAACTTGGTGTCCCCAAATCCTGGTAAAACACACACCCTGCTGCGCCGACAGCAGAATGCATATGACTGTGGCCTGCGTCTTTATGTGTAACAGGGACCTGGCAGACGGACGATCCTCCGCCTTGGCTCTGCTGACCGTGGTGGGACACCCTGCAGTCCCTCTCCAGGTTGGGCAGGATGTTGAGGCCCATCATGATGTCCTCTAGCAGCTTTTCTATCTGCTCATCGGACTCCTCTACAGAGCACTGACCCTGGGGGAGCGGGAAGGCCTCGATGCCATTGTTTTGGTTTGGGGTGAAGCAGTTGCTAGAGGGCGTTTGGGCGTCAGAGGAAGTGTTGGGGTGAGGTGGTGATTTGGTGGAGTTGGTGGTGGCAGGCTGAAGAAAGATGGACTCTGGATTCTGCACTGAGCTTGGCTGGACAGTGGAGGGAGGAGGTGGGACGTTTAAAACATCTGTGTTTGGCGTTTCGTCCTGTAGAGGAGTGAAGAAGATGTGAGCAAGAAGTATGGCTTCTGTTTCAGGTGAAAATAAGATTCCAATATGAAATGGGGTCACTCACAAATATAATATCCTATAATTCTGTTTTCTGCTAACACCACACGTACAGTGCAGACTGGGCTTCTTTTTAAATATTCTTTGAAACATATTTGACCTCCTAGATTCATTTTTGCATTGGCAATGATTAATGTTCTGAGAAATCAATGAAAGTGTTGACAAACATTGTATCTCAAAACTAATCTCTAACTATTCTTTTTTTTCTACTTCAAAATATGGTATTAGACTTAAGTTAACATAACATGAGGAGAGCATGTTTGTAACTATAAGCTTTCATTGATGTTATGCAGGGGAGTTAATATGACCTGGCTTTTAGAAAGGAGGTTCAAGTTTTTAACATATTAGTTTCAAGGTTAAATGTATATAGTTGTTTATAATAAAAAGCCTACACCTTATATACACAATGCATGATTGATGTGTGGGTGGCTGTCTTCTATAAGCTACAGAACACTGCCCCTGCACCACCGAGACACATTGTCCAGCATTTACTGGACGTTATAATATATTCATGTTATTCTAAACACACCATATCATCTTGTCAAATTACATATAGGTTCATGGTCATACTTATCTACCTGTTTCAGTGAGGTAAAACTTGACACGGTGTCATCTGTGTCTTGCCCACTCACCACCTCCCACACTTCTCCTTTGGTCCTCCTCCTCAGCTTCACCTGCGCACAGGGAAGAAAACAAGGAAACGATGAGAAAGCTGAGAGACACACGTCTTGTTATGATAGAAGACATCACAAACAGCCGAGTCGTGACAACTCTGTCATGAAAATACATTTTCCTTTCCTTGCGTGTCTTTGTTCATGAACTGAAGCGTAGAACTGAAAATAGAGACTTGAGTCAAAACTTTACACAACAGCAGTTGAGTGGATATGAAACCCTGAAATGTGCGTTTATCAGAAAATAATCGCACAGTGACAACAGCAGGAACTCACAGCCTAACAATATGATCTCCAGTAAATCAATAGTCAAAAATGTGTACAATGTCATTTTGGACACTTGTCTATTCCAGTGTAATTCTGCTGTTCAGCCTGATAATTCATTATTCTAAAAAGGATTTTTAAGATGAGCCATTTTCAGACATGAATGGAGTTTGCCAGAGTAGTGTCAGAGTTCACGTACACAACTAACAGCGAAAGACAAATGTTACTTCTTCTTACCTTGACAGAACTCTGAGTGGTCTCTGTCATCTCCTGCATCTGTTTCATCCTGGCCAGGCTCTTCATCCCGACACAGACAGGCCTCTTGTCTGTAGACGTTGCTCTTTCTTCCTCTGGTGTCTCATAACTGTTAAATTGGCTTGGCTGCTCTGTATCTTGTCTACAGTCACCTGTCTCCCCATTTCTTTTTCCATTCTCAGGGTTTGTCCCGTCCTCTGCCAAAACCTGTGCGCTGTCCTCAAACTCAGACGACTGCTGGACGGTGCCGTCATCCTGATGTCTTTGGGAGTTTGAGTCATCATTAACAGAGAGGCGGAAGGCCAACACGTCGCTGGACAGAACAGGAGTTGACAAGCAATTGGTCACAATTCTAGAGGGTTGGTTAAATGGAGAGTTTGCATCATTTGGTGCGCTGGGAATGATTGGGCAAGACATGGAGGAAAATTGTTTAAGATGTGTGATGCTTTGGGGTTGCAACATGACAGAAAAATCCAAACTTTGAGCTCCAGGCTCTGGGGTTGGAGGTGTAGCTTGTGTGGAGCCATCAATACACCTGACCAATGACCTTTCACCAGCTTTAACTGTCTGTGTTCCTGTAGATGTACAACTTCTCTTTTCAGCTGGAGCATCTGTTTCCCTCCTTTCATCCATCTCAGCCTGAACTTGGGCATCTTTCATTGTCCCGCTTTCATCCCTCCTTCTCTTTTCTGCTTGAAAGCCATTCTCTCTTACACTCTCGGGACTCTTCCGCCTCCTCTCCTGGAGTTCTGCCCTCCATATTCCCCCATCTTTCTGTCCCTCTACCAGGTCTGTGATCCCAAACTGGCAGGCTAACGCCAGCACGTCATTCTGCTCCGCGCTCCCTTTTACCTCCAGCTTGCCAGAGTAGAGCAGGCCAACCAGCTTCAGCAGGGTCTGGGCCTTCACAGCCTGGAGCTGGAGCTGATACTTTTGGCCGGATGGAGGAGGCGGGGAGGACGACAGCTTCCAAGACAGGTAAGGGCTGAGCGCTGCAAGGACGCAACTGTGGGCGGGCACGGAAATACCTTCACAATAAAAATAGGTGATTCAATTTTTTTTTTAAATATATTTTTGGTTTCACTTGAATATAAAACGTATGCTCCATCAGCATTGTGTTTTCATAAGCTGTACAGCTCACCCTCCGTTTGTAGCAGGGTATCACAGAACTGGGAGTTGTTTTGTTGTCTCTGCAGCTCTCCCACAAGCTGCATCTCAAAGCCAGGCCACTGGTACCTTCGCATGTCCACATAGGAACTGGGAGGACAGAAAAAAGAAGAGGACAAGAGTGAAGGATTGGGTTAAAAACTGTTGTGGATGAACACATAAAGATCCATAAAGATACTCACTCATGGTACTAGTGGTACATCCATTCAAAACCAACCTGTTTACTGAAACATATCTTACACTGATTTAAAGATGGATCTGTGATATGACTGAGGTTCTAATGTGTTTAATATTGTTATTGTATGTATCATGGCATTATCACACCATTTCCATTTTGTGAATGTGATGTTTGCTTCTACCAAAAAATTGTATTTCTTCATTTTAACTTAAAAATGTTCTTATTTTGATATATTCCATATGTTTCAGGTGAAGGTAAACCTATATACAATGTGTCTCCATTAAAAAATCTGCACTAGCCCGATGTGCGTGGTCTTGTATTTCCTTCTTCAAGCCTGAGGGCTGTATTTCTAAGTTAGCTGTTCCTAGGTCTGCACTCTTCTGGACAGAGATCTCACTGGTTGTTCAATCATCAGCAGCCACTCTCTCACTTCAGGGGTAACAGCCCTGAGAGCTTGCGGTTACCACGGGCACCACTGGACCTTTCCAGCTTCTCCTGTTCACTCTTCTTGATGTCCCTTGAAGCTTTATTGTGATAGCAGGTGCTGGCTCGGGCAGCACGTGGGGCAGTTGAGCTGCTCGTTGACGAACTTGATGTTCAAACATCATCCAACACTTTGCTGTCACAGTTCAACTCATTCACGTTCCTCTGGCAGCTGCTGTAGCTACATGCTACAACCTGACGAATCACCTCCACAATGGGTTAGACGATCAAACCCTCAGAGCAGCGTATTTAAACACTATGCGGCTAGCAGCTAGCTAACCAATTAGCAGAAAGAAATGGAGGGCGGGTCGTTCAACATCAATTCAATACGCAATGACCATTTTACTCACGAGTGATTCTCAGAATGTAGCCCATTAAAATGAAGGTTTGATAAACGTTACTTGAACTTTAAAATAGTGCAGCTTCAACTATTTAATGAGAAAGTTAATTAGCTAACTCTGGAGTAAAGGTCACACTGAGGCTAAAGCTTCGGAGCTGGGAAAGGACACTTACCGGACTCTGCTGTCGCAGATTTGTTCTACACTTTAATTTAAGCGACATTGATCTGAACCTGTGAAAGCATACAGTCTATGCTCCGGACGCTGAACGCGTCTCCTCCTCACGTGACACCCCGAGCCGTTGACTGACAGCGACACCTGCTGGTCAAGTCACTCACCGCGAGGTAGCGTGATCGACAACAACAGGAAAACAAAGACTGACAAATCATTTTCTTTTTTATTAAAAACAGTATTGCTAGTTACACATTTCAATCATAAATGAGAATGTGCAACTTTTAAGAGCCAAGGCAAAGAGATTAAGGTGTAGTCCAGAATCAGATTTTGTTCTCAACCATTAGTGTTCCAGTACGTGATGACTGTGTTGGAGGATTTTGTTTGGCTAATGTATTCTGCTTTTAATTAAGACATTAACTGAAAGTTTTCAATCTAAACATAAAAACTGATTGCATATGCGTTCACCCAGAGCACCCGAAACAATTAAACCCAAATCAGAATATCAAAAAAAAGTATATAAAATCATTAAAATTAACAAATATTCTCTTGTATATATAGTTTTAATGTGCTTTTATTTTTTTTTTCCACTTTCTCTAATAGCAAATTCTGGTCTATGCCTCCTTACACAGATTTTCTACCACAAACCCTCACCTTCCTCTCGTCTTTTAGTCGGTCCGCTCTCAAAGGCAACTTGTTATTTTGAGAAACTGAGGCTTCCTCTGTAGTGTTTCAGTTGGTCGTGGATAACACAGAAAATGTTCAAATAAAACATAAGGGGGGGGGAAGACACATTAGCCTCCCCAGTGCTTCTTTAAATCTACCACTCAGTAAGTATCTACATCTCACTCGGCACTAGGAATATGCATTTGTCTACAGAACGAGCACTGTAACAAAAACAGACAATACTGCGTCATCACCCATGTACTGTTCTGAAGTGGTAAAGCCAGGCAGGCTGTGGGTTTGCGGAGCAGTCAATGATACAGAACTCAAGAGTTTTATACCTCGTTAAAAAAAGAATCCAATAACAAGAATCAACTCTTACATACATACAAGTTCACATCTTCCATTATCTTGCAGAATAGAAAACTGCTGAGTTCCATATACAGTATTATTCCAATTAGTAACCTGCTGAGAAAAAGACTCTTTAAATGGTTACCAACGTCATGTTGAACACACCCATCAGACCTATCCTGAATGAGCGAGGCACTCCAGTTAACCCACTGTTCGAGACCATCTTGTATGTACACATTCATAAAGATTACGGACCTGTGGGGACAATGAGACGGACCCACTGAATCCTGTGATATCACCCAAAGAATTACAAAGAGGCTTACATGTTACAGAAAGATAGAAACATAGTACAGACTGTAATATCCAGTCCTCCGCTCCATTTCTGTCCCCTTTATATCTACAGATCACAATCAAATACAGAACAATGCAGCATTCGCATGCACCTAGGGGTTGGTCTGTCATTGACGAACACTGCGTACAAATCAAAACAGCTGACTGTTCAATGTAGCTGCTGTCAAAAAGAGTTTGTGTTTGAGTGAAGTTCTCGCATTCAATATTGGCAGTCGCAGCAGTAGCAGTGTCATTTGGCACATGTACATTACTGTGGTACAGAGCAAAGCAAAAAGATCAGCAACCACTACCAACACAGAAGCAGAAGGTTTACACATGTCTGATTACTTGATAAACATTGGTTCTTGGTGGTAAGATGTTTTTTGTCATATTTAACAATCAGAAAGAAAGAAACATTCCCTCAGTTTGATCAAAACAGAGTATAATAGCCATTTATGTAAAATTTCACCAAAAACTGTCCTGTTCTGATTCTGGTTCATTTTAATATGTTTAATAAGTCTACGCTCCGACCTCCAAGAAATACAAAAGTCCTCAGATGACGCCACAGAGAGCGTTAGTGTTGTCCAAGTCGTAGTGTTGTTGTGAAGTGATGTAGTGTGTTTGCCACAGTATCTGATCGAGTGGTCAGCATCTTTTCTTTTTTTGAAGTTAAGGGTCTCGCAGAGCTTAAAGTGGTCATAGTGTCACATCCGCTAGTCCACAGGGAGTGTAGCTCTGCCTCAGTTTTTCATGTGGTTTTATTAGTGTGTCAGTCGTAGGGGAGGAATGTAACAGAGAGTTAGGAAGAGAGAGAGAGAGAGAGAGAGAGAGAGAGAGAGAGAGAGAGAGAGAGAGAGAGAGAGAGAGAGAGAGAG